TGTGTGTGTTTGTGTGTGTGTGTGTGTGTGTGTGTGTCTGTGTCTGTGTCTGTGTCTGTGTGTGTTGTAGGTTGGATGGAGGACACACACCCCGTAAACGCAGCACTCCTGTGAAAGACCGACAGCTCTCCAAACCGCTGAGCGAACGAGGCAACAGCTCCGACAGCGAGCGATCGCCTGAACTCGGACACAGCACACAGGTACCACGATTTAGACTCCGTTTACGTCTGTATTTAGCAAGCAATGGTTCAGCCAGAAACGAAACTTTACTCACACTCAGGCCGTGCAAGATGTAGATGAGTTTGTTTCTTCATCAGATTTGAGGAAATGTAGCATTACGTCACTGTCTGAGCAATGGATGCTCTGCAGTGAATGGGTGCCGTCAGAATCAGAGTCCAAACAGCTGATAAAAACATCACAATAATCCACAAGTAACCCACACCACTCCAGTTCATCAGTTAATGCCTTGTGAAGCGAAAAGCTGCTTGTTTGTAAGAAACAAATCCATCATTAAGACATTTTAACTTCAAACCGTTGCTTCCGTTATAATCCATAATAATGCTTCCTCCAGTGAAAAAGTCATCTCGTTGGAATCATGCACAGAAATCTGCACAGATCAAGCACTGTTTACAAGCCAAAACAGTTCTAAACAAATATGTGTTAATGTGTGAGGACAACAGGAGACTTTTCACTGGAGGAAGTGTTATTATTATGGATAATGGACTCATATTTTAGCCAGAAGCAACAGTTAAAAGTTACAAACATCCTAATGATGGATTTGTTTCTTACAAACATCTTTACTTCTCAAGACATTAACTGATGGACTGGAGTGGTGTGGATTATTGTTATGTTTTTATCAGCTGTTTGGACTCTCATTCTGACGGCACCCATTCACTGCAGAGCATCCATTGCTGAGCAAGTGATGTAATGCTACATTTCTCCAAATCTGATGAAGAAACAAATTCATCTACATCTTGGATGGCATCAGGGTGAGGACATTTTCAGGAAATTCTCATTTTTGGGTGAGCTATTCCTGTAATGTATGGCTGTTTATGACGGGTGTAAACAGGGTTTCTCTCTTTCTCCAAACACAGTTCTCAAATTCTTTGCTCTCTTTGCTTTTTAAACAAGGAATGTTAATGCAGTGTTTCATCTTGTTCTGCAGAGTCACTGTGAATTATTCATGCTTGGCTGATTCATTCATTGCTGTGTGTGTGTGTGTGTGTGTGTGTGTGTGTGTGTGTTTGCAGGTCCTCAGGAAGGCCGTCTATGATCAGTTGAATCAGATTCTGTTATCTGATGCTGCTCTTCCTGAAAGTCTCATCCTGATCAATGGCACAGACTGGCAAGGACAGGTATATGAGTGTGTGTGTGTGTGTGTGTGTGTGTGTGTGTGTGTGTCTGTCTGTGTCTGTGTCTGTCTGTGTGTGTGTGTCTGTGTCTGTGTCTGTGTCTGTGTCTGTGTCTGTGTGTCTGTGTGTCTGTGTCTGTGTCTGTGTCTGTGTCTGTCTGTGTGTGTGTGTGTGTGTGTGTGTGAAGCAGACTGTCCTAATGGCTGTGTTTTGTATTTTTACCATGGCAAAGTGCTGTTCCTGTTCTTAGACAGTGTAATATGGGAATTTGACCGTAATGCACAACCTTTAATGGCTTATAACTCTTTAAAATACTAAGTGTAAAAGGCTGCATTTATTTGATGAAAAATATAGTAAAAACAGTAATATTATGAAATATTATTACAATAAAAAACACTTTTCTAAGTGAATATATGTTCAAATATAATTTATTTCTATGATGCAAAGCTGTATTTTCAGCATCATTCCTCCAGTCTTCAGTGTCACATGATCTTCAGAAATCATTCTAATATGCTGATCTGCTGCTCAAGAAACATTTCTGATTATTATCAATGCTGAAAACAATTGTGCTGCCCAATATTTTTGTGCAAACTGTGATGCATTTTATTTTAGGATTGTTTGATGAATAGAAGGTTCAAAAGGACAGCATTTATATGAAACAGAAATATTTTATATCAATATAAATGCGTTTTCTGTGGCTGTACTGCCGTGTGTTTGCAGTATGTTGCGGAGCAGCTTCAGGTTCAGAAGCATCCGGTGGTTTGCACGTGTTCTGGTGCAGAGATTCAGGCCGTTCTCTCGGCTCTGCTCACACGGATACAGAAATTGTAAGTTAACTGAGCTAAACAGGGCTTTTGTGAAGAAAGCACTGAGCTTGAAGCGTACAGTCCAGTGTAATCTGATCTCATCTGTCTGTGTGTGCAGCTGTAACTGTAACTCGTCGATGCCGCGGCCGGTGAAGGTGGCGGTGGTCGGCGGTCAGAGTTATCTAGGATCAGTGCTGCAGTTCTTCGTCACTCAGCTGGCCAACAAGACGTCTGATTGGCTCAATCACCTCCGCTTCCTGGTCGTGCCTCTGGGTAAGATAGATAGATAGATAGATAGATAGATATGAGATAGATAGATAGATATGAGATAGATAGATAGATAGATAGATATGAGATAGATGGATAGATAGATGGAGATATATGATTTAGATGGATAGATAGATAGATAGATATGAGATGCTAGATAGATAGATATGAGATAGATAGATAGATAGATAGATAGATAGATATGAGATAGATAGATAGATAGATAGATAGATAGATTTGAGAGAGATGGATAGATAGATGGAGATATATGATTTAGATGGATGGATAGATAGATAGATATGAGATGCTAGATAGATAGATATGAGATAGATAGATAGATAGATATGAGATGATAGATAGATAGATAGATAGATAGATAGATAGATAGATATGAGATAGATAGATAGATAGATAGATAGATAGATTTGAGAGAGATGGATAGATAGATGGAGATATATGATTTAGATGGATAGATAGATAGATAGATATGAGATGCTAGATAGATAGATATGAGATAGATAGATAGATAGATATGAGATGATAGATAGATAGATATGATTTAGTTAGCTAGATAGATAGATGGATAGATATGATTTAGTTAGATAGATCGATATAAGATAGATAGATAGATATGAGATGATTGATAGATAGATAGATATGACATGATAGATAGATAGATATGCGATATATAGATAGATATGATTTAGTTAGATAGCTAGATAGATAGATAGATCTTTGATCATATATCATCTTAGAGCTTTGCGCAGTGGCAGTATCGTAGCCTATGAGGTTTATTCGAGGCGCGATTATTGCTAATTGAAAATTTTACCCAATACCCCGGGGAAGTTGTGGCCTAATGGTTAGAGAGTTGGACTCGTAACCCAAAGGTTGTGGGTTCAAGTCTTGAACCGGCGGGGATTGTAGGTGGGGGGAGCGCTCTCTCCCACCTTCAATACCACGACTGAGGTGCCCTTGAGCAAGACACCAAACCCCCAACTGCTCCCCGGGTGCCGCAGCATAAAACGGCTGCCCACTGCTCCGGGTGTGTGTTCACGGTGTGTGTGTGTTCACTGCTGTGTGTGTGCACTTTGGATGGGTTAAATGCAGAGCACTAATTCTAAGTATGGGTCACCATACTTGGCCACATGTCACTTCACTTAGATAGATAGATAGGTAGATATGATTTATTTTTGTTTTTTGATGTGGATATTCTTGGATGTTAATTTCAGTGTTTCTGTTTGTATTCTTCTTTCTTTAAACTGGGTCAGGTTCTCATCCTGTTGCTAAGCACCTGGGTGCCCTTGACAACCGTTACAGCGCAGCCTTTCTAGACGGAGCCTGGAGAGACACATTCAACCGATCAGAGCCACCGCAGACAGGTACACAATACACACACATATACACACACACACACACACATATACACACACACACACAATACACACACATACTTATACAATGCAAACACACACACTAGAGCTGCACAATTAATTGTTAGAAGATTGCGATCTCGATTCAAACACCCACACAATCTGATTTCTCAATGACAACGATCCGCTGACACAGAGAGCAGACATTTACCATGTTGTTATATCTGTCTTACAGTCATTCATATTATCACAGAAATACTGGGATGAAAGTTTATAGTTTGAATATAAACACGGATGCCTATGGTAGCGATCAAAATACAGCAAATCCCCTTTGAAAGTAACTGGTGCTTCAAATAGCGTTGTTGATTACGTGGTTTCTCCACTAGATGGCAACAAGTGACTGTTAAAAAATGCATTTGTTATTGAATCATTCATTCAAAAGATTTGTTCAAAAACGCTGATTCATCCAGTACTGAAAGAAGTGAAGTATTTATGAGTGAGTCATTGAATCATTCATTCAAACCACTTTTTCCTAATTTTAATAATAATAATTGGTTTATTAAATGTATTTTAAATATACATAGGCTTATAGTGTATATTAAAATGCCTAATAATTCATTCAAACTAAGTAAACACTTTTTTAAATGGACTGCAGCAGTGCAGTTAATATTTTGTCACATTATTTTGTTTATTTCAGAATCGTGGGAGAAACGTGATCTCTATTTGAGACAGAAAAAAGTCTCAATTCTCAATTTATCATGCAGCTCTCACACACACACACACACACACACACACCAAGAGCTATCTATTGTTTTCATTTTTCATTTAATTTGAAAGTGAGGAATTACTAGTCTATGATTTTTGTAAAACTCAACTGACAAAAATATAAAGCATATTTTATTGGAATTTTCTGTTTTAAATTATATTATGCAATGGTTTTCTTCAGAAATGTAATGAACGGAATGGGAAAAAAAAAAAATCCGAAAATGTTCGTTATTTGTTTTGTTTTTTTCAAAAAAATATCTAACTAATATATCTTTCATAATTGCTATATCTTTTTTTTTTAATAGTAAAATGATATAATTGTTGATGTTCAGATGTCAAGTCAAGTCAAGTCTCCTTTATTTATATAGTGCTTTTAACAGTACAGATTTTGTCAAAGCAGCTTTACAGTATCAAATAGGAAAATAGTGTGTCAATAATGCAAAGTGACAATAATAAACACTCAGTTTTCAGTTAAAGGCAGTTCATCATTTAATTCAGTGATGTCATCATCCAGCTCAGTTCAGTTTAAAGAGTATCTGTGCAATAGATGTCTGATTCGTTAAACACCCGTTTAACCTCGCAGCTGTATGTTGTTGTAGTTGACGTGTGTGTGTGTGTGTCTGTCTGTGTGTGTGTGTGTGTGTGTGTCTGTGGGTGTCTGTGTCTGTGTCTATGTCTGTGCGTGTCTGTCTGTGCGTGTGCACGTCTATGTCTGTGCGTGTGCGTGTCTGTGTCTGTGTCTGTGTGTGTCTGTGCGTGTGCGCGTCTGTGGACGTGTGTGTGTGTGTGTCTGTCTGTGTGTGTGTGTGTGTGTGTGTCTGTGGGTGTCTGTGTCTGTGTCTATGTCTGTGCGTGTCTGTCTGTGCGTGTGCACGTCTATGTCTGTGCGTGTGCGTGTCTGTGTCTGTGTCTGTGTGTGTCTGTGCGTGTGCGCGTCTGTGTCTGTGTGTGTCTCTGTGCGTGTCTGTGTGTGTGTGTGTGTGTGTGTCTGTGCATGTCTGTGTGTGTCTGTGTCTGTGTCTGTGTGTGTGTGTGTGTGTGTAGATGCGGTGGACGTGGCGGTGCGTGTGGCTCAGTACATCAGCGGAGCGGCTCTCACACACCAGCTGCCCATCGCTGAGGCCATGCTGACCTGCAAACACAGAACGTACGGCTCTGTCTCTCATTACAGCTGCACATCTTTCACTGCTCTACTCACAACTCACTTATCACTTCCTCTTACAGGAGAGATGAAGATTCCTATCAGAAATTCATTCCCTTCATTGGGGTGAGTAGGAAGAGGAATCACTTGTTGGTGGTGGGATTGCACCCATATGTATTTCTTACTAGGCATAATATTGCATTTTGCATTCATATAAATATATTAGACAATGACATTTTGAGTTTTTTTTTTTTTGCAAACAGCATGAATGTCACTCAAACTATTTTATATTATGTTTCACGTTTTACTTTAACTTTTTTAGAAAAGTACTTTTTTTGGGGGGGGGGGGTTTGTTATATTTGCCCCTGTAATTTACTTTCATTTTTTACCTTTTATCTTTTTATTTTATTAACCCTTTTTTATATTTTATTTTTTTATTGTAATATTTTATGTCATTTACTTTTATTATTTTATTTTATGCACCCATAAGTATTTCTTACTATCCATAATATTGCATTTTGCATTGTATGTATTTAAATACATGTAGTTTTGTCCTATGAAAATGACTTTATTCAGTGTTTTGGGCTTAAATATAAAAGTACCTTTTTGAGAGATAATATATGCTTCTGGTATTTATTTCCACTTTTTTATCTTTTTGTTTTAGTAATCTTTTTTTATTCACCTATGAGTATTTCTTACTAGCCATACCATAATATTGCATTTTGCGTTGATTAATTAAAATGCGTGTATAAGCCCTATGACAAAGAAATTCAGAGTTGCTGCCTTATTTATTGATTGCTTTGTCACTGAAAGCATCATATACTGTTTTATAATATGTCATGTATTATAATAAAGTAAATTACTTTTTTGAGGGGTAATATGTGCCCCTAGAATTTATTTCAATTATTTTACCTTTTATATTTTTATTTTAGTAATCTTTTTTTATATTTTATTCTGTCCTTTTCTATGTCTGTCTGTCTATCTCATTTTTGCTTTATATATTTATTGCAAACAGCTCAAGTGCCACTTAAAAGCTCCATATGTTGTTTATCATGTATTATATCACTTTTTTGAGGGGTAATATTTTATTGTATATTCTGTCTGTGTGTCTCTCTATTTATTTGTTATGATCGTCTCACAGGTGGTGAAAGTGGGTTTGATTGAGCCTGGCCAATCAGCAGCAGGTGTGTGTTTCCATAGCGACTGAAGCGCTGATTGCTTGTAATAGCTCTAAGTGTGACATCGGCGCAGACTCTCACCGTGTGTCTGTCTCTGTTTCCCAGGTGACTCTGAAGAGGGCGTGGCTGTGAGTTTAGCCGTCCCCTCCACGTCTCCGCCCTCTCACGGCTCACCCGGCGGACTGAAGGAGACGGCCACGCCCCCCTCGTCTCCCTCCATGGGCGGCGGTTTGGCGGTGCAGGGGTGAGTGACTTCAGGATCGGCTCATTGTTGAGGGAATTTCTAGCGTCACAAGGTTTCACAAATTACTTGCTAATCCTGCTGGAGCAAGCAGGTCGTGCGGAATAAAGCAGCTCGGGCTGGTTTTTGCTGATCCAAGGTGGTCTACATGCTCAGTACCCACCACCTGGAAGTCCAGCTGATCGACTGTTAAACCCAGTAGAAACCATGTGAAACCAGATTTGTCACCATTTAGCTGCAGTTTTTGGTGGTTCAACCTCTTAATATACAATGATATAGTGCGAGAGTCAATGTAATGGAAAGTGTGACATCTGGTGGTGAATAAACGGAAGTCCATGAACCGAATTCGTGACAGTATGAGTGCTGCCAGCATTGCTGCAGAGGTTGAAGGGGTGGGGGGTCAGCCTGTCAGTGCTCAGACCATACACCGCACACTGCATCAAATTGGTCTGCATGGCTGTCGTCCCAGTTCTGTGTTAAATGTCTGACCAAATAGCCATTAAGTTAATTTATCACAGTGGAAATGGGTTTTTGTGTTTAATGCTGTGTGCTTTGCAGCGTTATTTTATTTATTTACTATCATATTATAACGTTATTTAGAATTAGCTTTTATATTTACTTTTAATTTTAGATTATAGTTTGTCATCATGCGTTATGTTTCATTTTTAAAATTATTTTTTATTATATTTCTATTTAGCTTTAGTTTAAATGTATTTCAGTTTTAAGTGTAGTAATGTTAGTACTTTTATTGGTGGTCCAACCTTTTAAGAAGAATTAAATGCTTTAAAACTGCATATTCCTGCACTTTTAATGTAGAAATGTAACAATCAGAGAGAAATCTAGCAATGCAGAACACAACTGTGTAAGTGTCTGGCTGTGCAGCTGTGTTGTGATGTGATGTGTCTGTCTCAGGAGTCCCAGCTTGTCTCACGGCGGAGACGCCATCGGTCTGCAGGTGGATTACTGGCTGGCGTCTCTGGTGGAGAAGCGTCGCGAGGGCGAGAGGAGAGACACCGGCTGTAAGAACACTCTGAAGAGTGCCTTCTGGTCGCTGCAGGTCAGCCGTCTGCCAGGAGGAGGAACCAGTGAGCCGCAGGTGCCCGGCAACACTATGGCCATGACCGTGGTCACCAAAGAGAAGAACAAGAAAGGTGAGCGGACCGTCATGAAACATGCAAAATGATACGATGGACGTTCAAAGCATCCAGAATATCCATGTTGGCTTAGAAATAAATCTGTTTGGCAAACTGTAATTTGATGTAGTAAAAGTTATATTTAATGTACAGGACAGTATTTTTTTATTTGTCATGATACACAAAAAATAGTAGATGGCAAAATAAGCGAGAAGAAAATTAATTACACCAATCCAATACTGAACATAAAAAGGAAAATGGCAAACAGAAAATGAATGAATAAATAAAAAATAATCAAAAAATTAAACTGTAAACTATAAAAAAGAGTGCACATTATACAATTATATATTTAAAAATTATACACATTATATAAGTGTATAAACTATATATCATAATATATGTCCAAAAAAAATAATAGAACTGACAGTTTACAAATAAAAATAAAATGTACACAGGTATTTGAACACTACCATTCAAAAGTTCAATATTTTTGAAAGAATTCTCTTATGCTTACCATTTATTTGATCAAAAATACAGTAAAAATGCTAAAATTGTGAAATATTATTAGAATTTAAAATAGCTGTTTTCTATTTTAATATATTGTAAAATGTAATTTATTTCTGTGATCAAAGCTGAATTTCCAGCATCATTACTCCAGTCTTCAGCGTCACATGATCTTCAGAAATCATTCTAATATGCTGATTAAGAAACATTTCTGATTATTATCAATGTTGAAAACAGTTGTGCTGCTTCATATTATTGTGGAAACTGTGATACATTTTATTTTTCAGGACTCTTTGATGAATAAATGTAAAAAAAAAAACAGCATTTACCTGAAATAGAAATATTTTGTCAAATTGTAAATGTCTTTACTGTCACTTTCTGTCATTTTAATGCATCCATACCATGCTCAATAAAAGTAGTAAAATCCTTCAAAAAAATGCACTGACCCCAAACTTTTGAACGGTAGTGTAAATTAAAGTAATATATGTGACCCTGGACCACAAAACCAGCCAATTTTTCTAAATTGTGATGTATGCATCATCTGAAATCTGAATAAATAGCTTTCCATGGATGTATGGTTTGTTAGGATCGGACAATATTTGGCCGAGATACAACTATTTGAAAATCTGGAAACTGAGGGTGCAAAAAAATCCAAATATTGAGAAAATCGCCTTTAAAGTTGTCCAAATGAAGTTCTTAGCAATGCATATTACTAATAAAAAATTAAGTGCTGATATATTTACAGTAGGAAATTTACAAAATATCTTTATGGAACATGATCTTTGCTTAATATCCTAATGATTTTTGGCATAAAAGAAAAAATTTATAATTGACCCATACAATGTGTTTTTGGCTACTGCTACAAATATACCCCAGCGACTTAACACTGCTTTTGTGCTCCAGGGTCACATATTAAACAAAGAACCAGTACCACTTTATATACGAGTTTAATATTACAATATGAATAATGTCTCTCTCGCTTTTTTTGTGCAGTTCCCACTATTTTCCTGGGGAAGAAGCCTAAAGAGCGGGAGATGGACTCTAAGAGTCAGGTGATCGAGGGCATCAGCCGGCTCATCTGCTCCGCCAAACAGCAGCAGACCATCCTGAAAGGTACCAGACCTTCATCACAGACAGAAAACTGCTTTCTTGTCAGCTAAAGCAGAAAACAACATTTCTCTTCCTCCTTTCTCAGTCACCATCGACGGATGCGAGTGGAACGACGTGAAGTTCTTCCAGCTAGCTGCTCAGTGGCCGACTCACGTCAAGTATCTCCCGGTGGGATTGTTCGGCTACAGCAAACCGCCCTCCTAGGACGCCCCACTTTCTCAGCCCCGCCCCTACAACCTGCAACCTACACCCCATTGCACACCACCGCCACCGCCACTTTCACAACGCTGGCCAATCACAGTTGAGACGGGACTCTCATGTGACCGTCTCTGGAGGGCGGGTAGGTGGAGTTGAAGACGGCTTCGATAGACTTTTATCAGCGCTAGTCACTTTTATTTATCAAAGGTCCCAGAGCCACATATGGGGGCCAAGCACAAAATTTGGATACACCACCTGTCGAAGACTATTTAACAGCATGACGCCGCTTAAATCACTCTCAACAACCCTCAATAAGTCCCTTTGCGTAACTGATCTCTTCCATCATTGACCTCCATAACCAGTATAATTGAGAAATGCAGCTAAAATCTACCATGGTAACTGTATATGTTTGGAGATAAACTTGCAGTTATTGTCACTCAAGTAAAATCAGCTTTCGGAATCTTTCTGTTACTTAGCAACTAGGGAATTTTGGCAGAAACTATGGTTGCCATGGTAGTTTTTTGTGAACAGAGATTCAAACATGAAAAAAGCGCAAAAAAGTAGTTCGCATTGGTTAATCTCTGTTAACTAGAATAAACAATTTCAGTTTAGTTTTATATTAGTTTTTAAGCACGCTTTTATGAGTCAGTTATTGTTGACAATAAAAAAAGCGCCAATGAATATTCTGAAATTAGCAAATTTCTCGGCTGTAGTACGAAGGCGGTGTTAAACGGCAATTTGACATTGGAGGCGGGGCTACGAGGTGCCCATCGGCCAACTGAGGACTTTTTAGATTTCCTAAAAATCATTGTTTGTATAGTTTGTTTTATCCTTCCAGTCGGCGACATCTGGAAATGCGTTGTTGACCTCCAACTTGCATGTCTTAAACTACATCACCCATAATGCACTGGCAAAGTTAACATTTAATGTTAGTTCAGTAGTGCACTGTGTACTTGTGCACAAATCGCTTTGCCTGATGCAGCGGCGTCTCTGCGTTCCCCTTGACACACGGAAGGTTAGTAGTTTGCATTGGTTAATCTGTTAACTAGAATAAACTATTTCAGTTTAGTTTTGTATTCGTTTTTAAACACGGTTTTATGTGTCAGTTATTGTTTATTTTTAAAAGTGACCTTTTAGCTTAAATATGTAGCTCATCTACAGGTTTTATTTCATTTCATAAAACATCTCCAAAGATCTCTGGCCAATCAGAATGTAAACATTATGGCACAGAATAAGTCAGTCACCTTTATAATACGGGCAACGGCAAACGCGATTTATGAAAGAACTATGTCGTATCAGTCAGCACAAGGCCTAACGTAAAGGCTGCACGAGGTTGGAGGTGAAAATGTCAGCTTCTTGTTCGCATCTTTACAGCTGGAAACCGGTTTGGGGAGAACTACAAAGGTTTCATCTTCATCAGTTGTCAAATGCTATGCACTTAAACTCGCCTTCATTTCTTCATATCTTCGTCCAAAGCACAAGAAGCGATCAGCTCCTCATACAGAATGCCCAATTAAAACACAATTCCCAAACACTACCTTTACACACTGCAAACACATGATTTTTTTTATTTTATTCTTATTTAGTTTTTGTCTTTTACAGTACAAATATCTAAACAATCTTAAATCAAGATACATTTACTTGAGAAGCAAAATTACTTAAGATGTACTTAATTTTGATCATTTCTCAAAAAACAGTGTTTAATATCTTAAATCATTTGACTTTATCTTGATTTAAGAAGGTTTAGCTATTTGAAAACACTATAAAATACGAACTAGGACAAAATACTGCGAGAATCATTTTTTGCAGTACAGCTGTGAACAAAACATCTGAACTGATCAGTAAATCTTGAGCTACAACATCCCTTTATTTTTTTAGCTGGAGCTTGTTACATTACTGCTAATGGCAGCTTTCACAGAAGTAGCGTGGTTTTATTTTGTCTAGAACTTTTGTGAGATATTCTTGTGAGTGGTAGGTAATGCAACTAACAAAATGTCACTGAAATGTGGTTTTAAAATAATAACAAAACAAACAACAAAAAAAGCTATCTATGAAATGGTGTTGTGCCACAGTGAGAGTGAATCCAGTGTGTAGTGCGTGTGTGTTTGTGCGAGTGTGTGCGTGTGTGTTGTGGACAGTAGTGCTCACTGGTTTAATTAATCTGTGGTGTTAACTGTACGTTCTTCACAGCACAAGATTCGGCGTCTTTCCACCCAGCCGACTTATATCCATTGCAGCTTGAAATGCTGATAAGTTATTAATATACAATGATTGTTACATGATTAACCTGTTAATCTCTTAATATTATTTTTCAAACTGAAAGAGTGAATCTCACAAAAACCCATAAAGAAATGTCATATTTCACAACAAAATCAAAAGAAAGAAATAAGATTTGCTTAAACAAAATTCTGCCAAATTTAGGAACATTTAGGATTTTGCTTTGTGACATGATTGGTATAATTTTATTACAGTAATGTGGCAAAAAATATATTTTTTTTTATTGCATACGTCATTGTAGCATTTGTTGAAATTCTGTTCATTTAGGCTGATTTCTAATACAAACATTTGCATTACAATCATTTTAATATAATTATTTTTTCGTTTGTTGAGGTGATATATGACCTAAATGTGAGATTCACCCTAAATCTTTCTAATCGGAGTCATGTTTTCTGGAATGAAGGTATCAGTTTTTCTGTGGTTAAAAGTATTAAGAACAACAAAGTATTAAAGTCACGATGGGTCAATTCGATTTTTATTTGTTCCTGCTTCTTACAGAGAATGTTTAGCAATAGTTTTGAAGTGTGAGTGTCTTTCTTTTGTGTATATCAAATGCATCTCGCCTTTTTTTTGCCCGTATTTTTAGAAAAGAGTGAAAATATAATTTCTTTGAGTTAATGTTGGTTATCAGTGCCGCACTATTAAACAAATATCCACACATTAATAATTTGTCTATAGCAGATAAGTTCTTAATATGTTTTTATATAGCTGTTGCATAAATTGCATTTTTTATTTTATGAATATCTTTGTGATTTAAATCCTATAAGGCTCATAGAAAGATGCATGGCTGTCATGAGAGCTGCAAGTTATGTCAGAAAGGCTTTTAATATTTCAGTCAGCGATTGTGTCTAGAGGGTTTTGCACAGTCCTGTTAAGGCTTTGATCATTCCTCATTGGATCTGAAAATCATAAATGATTTAGAGGGTCGGCATGTTCACCAAAGCTTAGAAACCTTCTAGAAAAGACCCCCTATAGATATTGAGCATATAAAGAGAAAAACCCACGCTGAATATGAATTCAAACCAGTTAAAATGTCTGTACTGTTGTTACACTTGCGGTCCGTGTTTTAAGCTTGCATGATGAGCAAACGCGCAAAAACTTGCAGCAACTTTCACACACAATTAGTGGCAACTATTTCGGAGTCCAGGTTCAAATTTTATATGGATATGTAAAGAATGGAAAAAAGGAGGGGCAAAAAAAAAGAGTCACTGCCAAAGAGTGTCAATTGTTAAATTTTTTTGTTTGTTTGTGTTTTTGTATGTATGGAAAATGATTTTCAGTATTTATGGAGCAGTCTGGAATGGGAATGGAAAGTACCGAATTTTGAAATCGATTCATTTCAATATGAAAAAAGCTTAACAACTACTAATTTCTGTTCCGTCACTCGAACATGGACTGTCTCTTTATGTGTGTGCCGTGTGGAGTCTGGTCTTTGCCTGTCCTCGTACCTCTGTATGTACTTGTGTTGATTTGTCATGTGAAACTTCGACAACATGAAGTGGATTTGAACATTCTGATTGGTCGACTAATTATCCCAACGACCAATCAGAATGGCGCTCATCCCCTTCAAATACTTTTTGTCAATGTAATCTGTCGGAGAGATAAAATGCCTAAATTCCACAAGCTTCGGATTCAAACTGGCCAAATTTAGCCTGCTTTGTAAAGTAAATCATTGCGTAATATTTAGTCGTGGAAGATCAAGAACCGAGCTTGTGGATGAGATAAGTATTTTTGCACATGCATTTGTTATCTTTTAGCAGTCTTCAGCTCTTTGCCTTTTTGCCTTTAGACAAAAACGCTTGTACATATCCAAAGTGCTTGTAATATGAACTCATGTTCCTTTATTGTGTGCTATTTTTGTTATTTGACATGTTTTTGTAGTACTGCTTTTTCATAATTGAGTTGTCAATCAATAGATGTGGTATGGACAGTGGAAGTGTTACTTGTATTCTTTTTTATTTAATAAACACCTGATTTGTAAATTCTCTTGTGTAGTTTGTGGATTTTTAGCACAACGAAATAAGTGTAACTGTTATTTGTGGAACTATTATTTGTCACTTGCATTGCTCTGCCATAGATATGTTAATATACAGATTAAATATTTTCTGACAGATTTAACACTCTACTTGTCCCATAATTATGTGAATCGAGTAAAAAGTTCAACTAATATATATTTCCATAATTACATGGTTGATTAATCACCATACATTAAAACTATTGTTTTGTATTACAAGTATTTTACGAATTAAGGCATTTTCCAACTATAAATTCACTCATTTGCATACTTTTTTTTCAGAATTGTTGCTTCATTTTAGAAAATGGCCAATTTTCTCCATATTTTAGGAATAAAACGCGAATGTTATAAAAACAAACCCCTTGGTAAAGTTTCAGAATATAGTTAGAAATTTGTTTAGATAGAAACTTATATTTACAAAGCAATATGTATTGTAATTGAAATCTACAGATGTGAATGGATAAAGTGACATAAAACAAAGCAAACACTTAAATATATATTTTGGATGTTTTCTCTCCACTAGTATGAAAGAGAAATTATGGAACCAAATAGCCCAAAATATACACATGTCTCTGTATATTTATCTTCCCCAGTTGATTAATCACCATAATAAAACAAATGTTTTGTATCACAACTATTTTACAAGTTATTAAGGCATTTTCTAATGAAAAATGCCCTCATTTGCATACTTCCCAAGATATTGGGAAAGGCCAGGTTGAAAATTATTGCTTCATTTTGTTGAGGTATTAGAGTTAAATGTTTTTACAGAAGGGATTTTGGATGTCTGTTTTTATCGTTCCATAATTTACAAAACAGTAAATTTTCACCATATTTTAGAAATACAATGTTATATACCAGATTGTGTGAACGTTATACAAACAAATCCCTCGGTAAAAAACTTTAGAATAAAATTACGTGTAAAACTGTAAAATTAGTTTCATGTAAGTTCTGCTGAAGTGGAGATAGAAGCTTGTTGTTACAAAGCAATATGTATTTGAAATCTACAGACACAAATGGATAAAGTGTCATAACACAAAACTTTTAAATGTATAATTTGGATGTTTTCTTTCCACTAGTATGAAAGACAAATTATAGAACCAAATAGCCCAAAATATCTGTATATTCATCTTCCCCAGTTAATTAATCCCCAATAAAACAAATGTTCTATATTACAACTATTTTAGAAGTGAAGGCAATTTAAAATAAAAATGCACTTTGCATAAATTTCAAGATATTGGGAAAGGCCAGGTTGAAAATTATTGCTTCATTTTGTTGAGATATTAGATGTAAAGGTTTTTACAGAAGGGATTTTGGATATCTGTTTTTATCTTTCCATAATTCAGAAAACAGTACATTTTCACCAAATTTTAGAAATAAAATGTTATATAAAGTCACGTGGATGTTATATAAACAAACCCCTCGGTAAAAACCTTCAGAATATAGTTAGGAGTAAAACTGTAAAAATTTTTGCATGTACGTTCTGCCAAAGTGGAGATAGATCTCATTTTGAAAAAGCAATATGTAATGTAAATGGAATCAACAGACGCAAATCGAAAGTGTCATAAAATAAAACACCTAAATGTGTATTTTCGATGTTCTCTTTCCACTAGTCTGAAAGAAGACGTGCCATGAAAGCAAAATAGCTCAAAAAAGTCAAAATAGCTCAAATGTAGCCCAAAACATTAGCATAACGCGTCCAAGCCCGGTTGGAGGGGCGGGTGTAGTGATGTCAGCGCGCAGTGCTGTGGATTCTGGGAGCACAAACACACACATCAGCCATTTTCGGTTTGCTCTGGTCATCCTCCCTCACTCCAGCACAAAGATCCGCCAGCTATCTATCACGCTGAAAGGGACGAGAAGGATGGACGAAGAGAAAGCGGGTGATCGCGCACACGGGCGTTTGTTTTGCTGAGCGCGTCAAAGACAAAAGCGCAGCACTGACGCGCATCTTTACAGCCGGGGATTCATCTGATTCACGTCTGATATCGTTTTATTGTAGCAATTCTGGACGCGTCTGAATCCATAACATCGCATTGTTTGCACGCTTGAGTTCAAGAGAAGCCCGATACAAGCGGATTATAAAAGGTATTTTCTTGCACGCAATGCAAAAATGATCTGCGCTTTGGTTTTTCACATGCATTGATCATACAATAGGATGCTAACTTACTGGCTGATTTAGTGGAACAAAGTTGAGCCTGATCTGCTAAAAACAAGCTCATATTTAATATCCGAATAGCGCAGAAGACTGTGTTTATATGTTTTATTTAAATAATTATGCCATTATAATGTGTTTTGACAATGTCTGAAAGAGCAAACCAGATGATGTATGACTTCTTTATGATGCATCTGGTGATTTTTGTCTTCTTCATCCAGTCAGTGATGGTGCATTGAATATATCTCGGGTTATGAATCAAATATGCATGATTCATTCTCAAATATTATTTTATGAGAACACAGAATGAAGCGTGAGAGGAGTTTGCGTGATGGAAATAAGTGTTTGCTGATGTTTTGAGTCGGTTTGCAGAAGCTTTGGGGGGGGTTTGTTTCACATTGAGGACCGGGCCTGTTTTTCGCTCAGACGTGAGGATGATGTTGTGATCGTCTGGAGGAGTTCACGCATGTTGCGTTGTCCTGTGGGTCACCTTGATGGGTTTTTCCAGGTTTCGCCTGATTATTCCAGGCAGCTGTCAGTCATTGTGAAATGTGCACTAAGCATATGAAGGGTTATGAGCACCAGAAGGCGGTTTGTGGTCTGATCTGGTGTGTTTATGAGCTGCACATCTCGTGGTTTGATGCGGGACTTTCGCTCTTTCTCTCCGCTGTTGCTGCATTGCAGTCAGTAGGCGTGATGAGTGAGGAATGGCGCCTCTGCTGGACGCAGGTGGAAATGCAGGTGAAATCGGCCCAGTGATGGAGGTCATGTCTGAGATGTCATCATAATATCATATTAAGTACTGCAGTAGGCGAACTTTACACATGGAGCAGTTAATCAGCTGCTTGTGTAACTGTTGATTATTTGCTGCATTAGTAAACTCTGCTGTGTTCGGGTTCTCACGGGTGTTGTTCATCACTTCAGATGTTTTGGGGCGGTAGAGCAGGACTCTTTGTCAGCAGTCAGTCTTGTAGTCAGTGTTGCCAGCTTGGCTGTTTTTGGGTGTGAGGTGCATTAATGGATCATGATGGACGGCAGGGTCTAATGGAGTCATTAGAACTAAACCGTTATTTTAGTATCATTGACATGCTATAGTTATTTTATTTTTTTACATTTTCATTTACTTTTTGTTTTTGTCGATTTTATGTTCTTTTTCAAATAGGCTATGACTTTAGTTTTTGTCGATTTTTATTATTTATTTTTTTCAGTTTTAGTCGTTGTGTTTTTGTTATTTGTATTAATTATTATTATTTTAAAATGTATAGTTTTATACATTTTTATTTTGTTTATTATTTGTGTGTGTGTGTTTGGCATTTTTGCGAGCTGTTTTTATTTAGTTTTATTTCAGCTCCAGTTATTTTTGTTCTTTTTTTGTTTAAAATATTTCTATAGTTTTTATAATTTTTTTTCAGTTTTAGTCGTTGTGTTTTTGTTATTTGTATTAATTATTATTATTTTAAAATGTATAGTTTTATACATTTTTATTTTGTTTATTATTTGTGTGTGTGTGTTTGGCATTTTTGCGAGCTGTTTTTATTTAGTTTTATTTCAGCTCCAGTTATTTTTGTTCTTTTTTTGTTTAAAATATTTCTATAGTTTTTATAATTTTTTTTTCAGTTTTAGTTATTTTAATACATCAGTTTAAAATAAATGAAAATGAGAAGTACTGCTTTGGCATCTAGCCAAAATAAAATTAAGTCTTTTTATTCAAGTTTTTATTTTATTCTGTTTCACTTAATGTTTATTTTATTTTGGGTAACAATGTTTTATGGCTTTAGTTTTCATTTTAGTTGAAGGTTTACTAATTTTGTTATTGTTTTTATTTGTTATTGTTCTTTTTAAGTGGATCTATATAGTTTTTATTTCAGTTTTAGTTGTTTGTGTTCTTTTTTTGTCATTTATAGTTACTGTTTTTTAATATGTTTATATAGTTTTTATGTGTCTATTTCAGTTTTAGTTATTTTAATACATCAGTTTAAACTAAATGAAAATGAGAAATATTGCTTTGGCAACTAGCCAAAATAAAATATATATATTTACAGTTTTATCATTTTAGTTTTTTTTAATTGACATTTTGGTAAAATTGCTTTTTGTTTTTATCATTTTTATTAGTTATTGTTCTGTTTAATTGATTTTTTGAATTTCAGTTTTAGTTATTTTAATACATTAATTTAAACTAAATGAGAAATATAGCTTTGGCAACTAGCCGAAATAAAATATTTTTTTGTTTGTTTTAAGTAGTTTATTCTGTTTCAATTAATGTTTAGCCTATTTTATTTTAGGTAATAACGTTTTATAATTTTAGTTTTAATAGTTTTTAGGTTTTTTTTAGTTGACATTTTGGTAAAATTGCTGTTTGTTTTTAAAATTTTTATTAGTTATTGTTCTGTTTAATTGATTTAAGTTTCAGTTTTAGTTATTTTTAGTACATCAAGTTAAACTAAATGAAATTGAAATGTTGCATTGACTTGGCAACTTTTATTGTATTTTATGTTTTACCTAAGCCATGTAAGATGAGAATTTGTGATGCATCAGTTTGTAATGGTGCCCTTCGGTGCATTCACAGCGAGCGGTTCGTCCCGTGGGTGATGTCCACCATGGTGTACCCACGAGAAGAGGCGCTGGAGCGTCTGACGCAGGACGAGATTGTGCTGAACACCAAAGCGGTGATGCAGGGTTTGGAGGCACTGCGAGGGGAACATGCTCAGCTCCTCAACTCTGTCCTGGACTGCGCTCAGCCGCCCGTCGCGCAGGAGAAGTCCAGCCTGCTCCGCAAGAGCCTGGAGGACATCGAGCTGGGGCTGGGAGAGGCACAGGTATCTCAATTACTCAGAAAGACTCACTCACTCACTCAGTCACTCAGTCACTCAGTCACTCAGTCACTCAGTCAGTCACTCACTCAGTCAGTCAGTCAGTCACTCAGTCAGTCAGTCAGTCAGTCACTCACTCACTCACTCAGTCAGTCAGTCAGTCAGTCACTCACTCAGTCAGTCACTCTCTCACTCAGTCAGTCCTCTCACTCTCTCACTCAGTCAGTCAGTCTCTCACTCACTCACTCTCTCACTCAGTCAGTCACTCTCTCACTCACTCACTCACTCACTCACTCAGTCAGTCACTCTCTCACTCACTCACTCACTCAGTCAGTCAGTCAGTCACTCAGTCAGTCAGTCAGTCACTCACTCACTCACTCACTCAGTCAGTCACTCTCTCACTCAGTCAGTCACTCTCTCACTCAGTCAGTCACTCTCTCACTCAGTCAGTCACTCTCTCACTCAGTCAGTCACTCTCTCACTCAGTCAGTCACTCTCTCACTCAGTCAGTCACTCTCTCACTCAGTCAGTCACTCTCTCACTCAGTCAGTCACTCTCTCACTCAGTCAGTCACTCTCTCACTCAGTCAGTCACTCTCTCACTCAGTCAGTCACTCTCTCACTCAGTCAGTCACTCTCTCACTCAGTCAGTCACTCTCTCACTCAGTCAGTCACTCTCTCACTCAGTCAGTCACTCTCTCACTCAGTCAGTCACTCTCTCACTCAGTCAGTCACTCTCTCACTCAGTCAGTCACTCTCTCACTCAGTCAGTCACTCTCTCACTCAGTCAGTCACTCTCTCACTCAGTCAGTCACTCTCTCACTCAGTCAGTCACTCTCTCACTCAGTCAGTCACTCTCTCACTCAGTCAGTCACTCTCTCACTCAGTCAGTCACTCTCTCACTCAGTCAGTCACTCTCTCACTCCCTCAGTCAGTCACTCTCTCACTCACTCAGTCACTCTCTCACTCACTCACTCAGTCACTCTCTCACTCACTCAGTCAGTCACTCTCTCACTCTCTCAGTCGGTCACTCACTCGGTCACTCACTCGGTCAGTCAGTCACTCACTCACTCGGTCACTCACTCGGTCACTCAGTCAGTCAGTCAGTCAGTCAGTCAGTCA